CGGGTCGCGTCCCGCCTTCCTGGCCCTGGGCGCTCCGCTCCCGGCTGGCGGCGCGCGTTAGTGGTCGCGGCTGGGTAGGGCGCGCAACTCTCCGCAGCCCAGCGGCCCCGGCTCCCCCCTGCGCCTCCGCCTCCTTCTCCGCCGCCGCCGCCTGACCATTTGTGTCAATCCCTCAACTCGCTCCCTCTCCTCTCCCTCGCGCGCCCTCCGACCGGTTTCCAGGCGCCCCGCAGTCTATCTTTCACCAGGAGGGAGGAGCCTTGAAACCGACGCGGAACTGGAGGCTCAGGGACCGTCGCCCAATCGCGGCTCCGGCTTCCCGGCGCAGAGGGAGCCCGCCCGCCGCCTCCGCGACCGAGCCCAGGCCGGCGGCGGGCGGGAGGCGGAGGAGGCGGGAGGGGGAGGAAGTGGCGGTGGCGGCGGAGGCACCGCTCGGGCACAAAGAGTGGGTTTGCTGTGAAGCGGGACGGGCTTGGTTGCTTTTGCTTTTGCGCAAGAAAGGGCGAGTTCAAGTAGGAGAATGGTCCCATATGCTGCTGGGGATAATGAATAGGAGTCGGCGGGCCGCGGGATTTAGCTTTTCTTTGCTTTTGTGCGTCTTCGGGTTTAAAAATCCTGCTCTTAGCGCCGGTTCCAAACGGCGAGCCGCGAGCTGCGGCCGGGACGCGCGCCCCGCTCGGAGCCGGCGCCGCGGGGTCCCCCGGAAACGTCCCGGAGCCCGCCCCGGGCAGTGGGGCGCCCACCCCGGAGAAGTTCGCGGCGGCGCTGCCGAGGGCAGAGGCGCCTAACGCGGCGCAAACTTCGGTGGGACGGGCGGCGGGCTGCGCCTTCTGCTGCTGCCTTTCTTCTTGTGCTTAACTTTTTTCTCCTCTTTAATCAAGTCAGAAACAGAAACAAAGGAATGATCCGTGGCGTTTTTGGAGAGAACAACTTGGGAGCCCGAGGCCCAGGGACGGGGGCGGGGTGGAGGCGCCTGTCTGCGACCCCGGAGGTGGCGCGACCGAGCTGCGCCCCCGCGGGCGGGCCCCGGGAGAGCTGCCCAGCCTGCCTTGCCCGGAGGGCGCCCTCGGCCCGCTGGGACCCCTGGGGCCTGGGCCTTCGGGACTCCACAAGCTGAGCTGTAGCGTAGGCTTCCACCGTACGCAGAGTGGAAGACGCCAGTTCAAGAAACAAAACAAAACAAAAAAGGAGTCTGAAAAAAGAAAAAAGCAAACTTCACATTTCCTTTTGAATCTCAGAACAATGCAGTTCATCTTAGCATGTGCACATTCTAGCTCTCCTTGTGAGGTTATTTTAAGTGATGGTTTAACTATATGATTCAGCTTTATCAATAAAGTGCCACTATAGTACTAATTCTACAGAGGCCTTTGGGTCTTTGACTAGACAATATCTCAGGATGCCTTTTCGCAACTGCTCTAGTCATTCATCGATCTACTCCTTTTGTTTAGTAGATAAACACCCGCTGCAAGCCTGCCCTAGCGGGTAGGGTAGAGGAGACAGAAGCAGGGTCCAGCCTCAGAGGAGGGAGGGCGCAGTAAGTGGGGCACAGAAATGTCGACCAGTGATCATGGTGTCCACCCCCAAGCTACACCGGCGTGGGGAAGTAAGCGGCTCAGCTGAGGTGGAGTCTGCGGAGAGTTAGGTGGTTACAAAAAGAGAGACTAGGAAGTGCTTAAATTGCTGAAAGGGCAGGCAGGGAAGGTTAATGTCCCTGGGGCTCGATGCCCACGAGGCAGGAGAAAAGATTTTAGTCCGCACCAAAAAGAGTGAGCCAAGTTATGCAGACCATAGGGAGCTATGGAGAGTCACGCTCACAGAAGGAGGGAGCAGCTCTAAGATGACCGTGAAAGCGGGGATTTAGTCAAGCTGTGATTGCAAGCTGTGATTGAGAAGCTTTACCCTCCACAGGTAAGGGTCACTGAAGACCCGGATTACTTGTACAGGACACCTTAGTAAATTTCACCCCTATGCATACTGGCGTCTCTAAGGAATAGGCAGTCACAGCTTTACCTATTTTTTTTTAAATTTTAATTAAGTTCATTGGTACAACTTAGGTACATACAGTGATCACATTCATCATGGGGGATTTATACCTGTACGTGATATACTTTAGTTTGTCTCACCCCCCCCAACTCCTTCCTTCAACCCCTTTCCCTTATTTACAAAGCTTTGTTTCCATTTTATCCTCTTCTCATTTTTTCCTTTCCCTTCCTTCCTTTACCCCTCCCCCTCCCTAGATACCCTTTTCTTTTGAACACTTTCTTCTTATTTCACAATATCTGTTGTACAATTTGGTTCTTATTTACACTTTCAGTCTCTCACACCAGGGGGTAAAAATCACATCGGTTTGTCTCAGATGCGTGTGTTCATGTTTTTCAAAAACTCATAGAGGCAGTAAGTGCATAAAATACACATTTGTTTTAAAATCATTTTGGTTCCTAGTACTTTTTAAAGCAACAAGTACTAAGCGCACGTCATGTGGGACTGTGTGCACGTGTGTGAGTGCTGGTGCGAACTCATATTAAAAGGAGGTAGGGGCACAAGTGCTGTAGGAGGTCCTTTCACTCAGTAACTATTGGTTTCCGCCCCCAGCATCCTGGCCTCAGGCACCCAGGGAGAGTTGGTTTCTCAGTAGCCCTCCTTACACTGTGCGGCTCTCTCAAGGTCACTCTGGCTGATTGGCCTCCATGTAAAGTGAATTTACTCTGAGGCTGAGGTGGCGAACCTATGGCACGCATGTTATTGTGTTTTTCAGACAAAAGATGATAATGCAAGTTGTTTTTCTAAATTAAAACCGCAGTATTCAGGTTTAATTGCAGTGTTGGCCTTTCCAATAAGTAAGTTCGTTTGGGGGTGCAGGTTGGCACTGGGTCTCTAAATGGTTCACTGTCACTGCTCCAGCGTATTAATTACCAATAATGGGCACATGTGTGAGCATCTACCACCTTCACTCTCACACCAAATCTTCCCCATTCTCTCCCAGAGGGGGAGGGCTCAAGGAATACAACAGAGAGCTCTCATTTCCTTTTTTCGGAATAGGAGACATGCTCCTGCTTCAGAAGTTGTCCTAATGAAATTCTTGAACTTGTTTATCCTCTACCAAATGATGAAGTTTACCAGGTAGGAAGCTTGGGAATACAGTGAGGGTTTTTTTCAAAAAGGAGGTGTGTGTGTGGGGGGTCGTTCTTTCAGATTAAGGAGCCAGCGGATCCAGATATCATCTAAGAACTAGTTTTTCTCCAGTTTACAGATGGGCCCAACAGACTAGGTCCAGAAATGTTAAGGGATGTACCTC